CCCCCCCACACACACACCCCCCGCCTTGCCAGCACTGGCAGCCGCCCATCATGCAGCAGGGGAGCGAGCTGTTTGCCCCCTCCCAGCACCAAGATACTAGACATGGCTCTTGCTGCGGGCACCTGGTGCCATTACAAAGCCCGCTGCAGAGCTCCAGTAACTGCTCCCAAGTTTGTCAGCCAAGCCCTGGGCCAGAGCTGGCCGAGGGGCTCCAGCACGTGGTACACTGCGGTGCTCAGCTGGGATGAGACGCCAGTAGAGCGCTGGCCTTTCATAATGACTTCAGCATGGTTTGTTTTGTTTTTTTTTTTTTCCCCTTTGCAGTTAGCTCAGAAGATGATGGGCTTTAGTTTGCCAGCCAACTGCCTTTCCTTCATTGTCTGACCCACTGACTGATGTATTTTTTTATTATTATTATTATTTGTATGTGTGGCTGTTAGGAAATAAAGGTTGATCCTGCAGCAAGACAAACAAACAGCTTGGGAGAGGCCAGGAGGAGTGTGAGGAGCAATACACCCCAGTAAAGTATGTGCCTTGCAACACTATGGAAAAGCTTTGCCCTTTGCCACGTAGTCAGTACAAGCTGCACAGGCCCCCCATCCCCTCGGCGCTCATGCTGTTGGGAAGCGGCCGGGCTCGTTGAAGGCTTTGGCTGCGCTCCTTGCACCAGTTTGTTTTCCTGGCCCTGGCCCCACCTGACCATGGGCCAGCTCACACAACAGTCAAAAGTAAAAACCCTGGCGGTGCCCCAGCCAGCAGTACACAGCTCCCCTGCAGCCCTGGGCAGGGGTGGCCGGCTGCTCCGGGGAATGTTTGCTGCCGGGGAGCTGGGGAGGGGACCCAGCTGTAGTGGCACCTGGTGCATCGGAAGGGGCTGCTGTGGGGGGCCAAGGGCTCATGAAATGCTGCGGTACCACCTCCTCAGCCAGCACCTGTGCGCTCCAGTGGTGGACAGCACCTCTCCTGTGTAGTTCTGTTCTCTGTGTCCCTAGCACTGAAGGCAATAAAATGGTTATTTTATTTATTATTATTATTTTGCTTTTTAATACTGTTTTACTTAAGCAAACCCCTAGAAGGCCAGTGTCATCGCTGCTGTCTCTTGGGCTGCAGTGCGGCTCTGCTCGGCCCTGCATTGGCACTGCCCAGAGCCCATACACCCAGACTCCCACATCTTGGAGAGGGGGTACCCTGCACAACCTGCTGACCCAGAGTCTGGGGAAGAGGGGGCCATGGGGAAGGTCTCATCACAGCCCCTGGTAACCTGAGAGCAACTGTAGGCATGATAGACAAAAGCTCTTCTTACGTCCTCTCCAGCCAGCATGCCTTGCTGCCACTTGGTGTGTAAACTGGCTCTCTTCAAACCAACCAAAACCCACCCAAAAAAACATTGTGCATTTCCTTGCACCCAGAGGGTGAACCAGGCCCAAAGAAAGCCCCGAACAGCTGCAAAGGTACTTTATCTTTTATTGTTGACAGCAGGTAAATACAAGAAGCTGCCGGGCAGAAGAGCAGGGGCTGTACCTCTATGAAGGGCTCCTGAGGGCCAACAGCCAGGACAGAGGTGAGCAGGGCCCTGAGAGGGCACATGGGCCAAGGCTCTGCAGGAGACAGAGCGGCAGTGGGATGGGGCACGAGGGCTCCTCCAGCCCCACACTTCCCCACCCAGGCAGCCCAGCACCCAGCCGAGCAGAGCCTTTGCCCAGCAGCTGCCAAAGGGGACTATTTTAGGTTACAAAAATGAACAAAAGCCATCTACAGGTATTTACAGTGTACCCCTCCCGCTGCCAGCTCGCTCCAGACATGAGTCAGGGCTCAGGGTGCCCCCAGCCCCCAAGAGCAGGTTGCAAAGGGCAGAGCCCCAGCTGGAGGAGACAGTCCTCTCAGCGTAAGTGCCAGCACCAGGGGCTGCCAGAGCAGCACTGCAGCCCTGTTGTACAGCAGGATCTCCAAAGGGCCTGCTGACCGTCAGCTGGGAAGATGGTCAAGAGATACAGGACATTCCTGTGGGACATGCATGTCCTCCACGAGGACAGACGGACATCAGCATCCCGCTGGGAACTGGTGCCTGCAGCGGAAAGGCCAGCTTCACACCAGTTCTGGGGATCTTGCTGATCATCTTTAGTTAAAAACCATGTCAGGAGGACCACGTCTGGGCCACGTCCTCCTCCCTGGGCAGGAGAGCTGGGTATGCCCTCCTGAAGGAAGGCCTCCTCCCCACAGGAAGGAAAATCAGAAGCAAGGTTACAGCAAAGATGAAGGGGGTGGTTCTGGCCTGGGGATTGATCTACAATCCACCATAAAAAAACAGCTTGAAACAAAACTCATCATTTACTCTTAGATTTGTACAAAATAACAATAATAAAAATAATAATAAAAGGTGCTGGTGGCCTCTGGCTCGCAGTGTCCCGCTGTGGCAGGGGGTCTCAGTAGGCAAAGATGACGTGGTAGTTGACTTGGTGCCCATTGTCCCAGGCGTAGAGCAGGCGGTCCTTGGGGTTATAGTCTATCTGCGTGGTGTAAGCATACTCATTCTCAAAGAGCAGGCGGGGGATGATCTGCGTGTTGGTGTGCGTGTCAAAGGCGTAGGATATGTTGGCGTTCCTTTTGTTGTAGCTGTCAACTGCATACAGGACCCCACAGATGACAAAGCAGTTCCCGTAGAAGTTCTTCCGCAGCCCCGTCCGCCAGGTGGTCTCCTTCTGGGTGCTGAGGTCAGCCGCATTCAGCTTGCTCAGCACAATCACCTCCTGGTTGAAGCCCTCGTAGCTGATGGCCGGGTAGATGACCCACAGGCCATTCTCATCCACGGCAAAGTCCACATCTGAGTGGCCTCGCCACCGCCATGGGGTGGACTCCTCGTAGGCCACGTCATGCAGCATGGCCCAGGCAGCCACAAACCGCTGCTTCAGGTCGTATTTGATGATGTTGCGCGTGAAGGCCCGGTTGTAGTAGAAAGAGCCATTGTAGACAACATGCCCTGTCCCAATCCAGCTGTATGGGAGCTTGTAGGAGTTGCTCCAGCGACCTGTGGGACAGAGACACATTGCTGGCAAGACCCTCCCTTTGCTTTGGGGTTGGTGGCCCCACTTCCAGCATCCTCTGTCCCCAGCCACAGCCTGGCATGGTGACAAGCAAGTCCAGAGCCACCATGAGCAGCCTGACCTGCCCTGTGCTCTGAGCCCCACACGCCAGGTACTGGCACCCAAGAGGGAAGGATCCCTGGGCAGAGCTTCCCCTCAGTGCTGCATCCCAGGGAACAGGGACGCTACTTGGACCAGCTGAGCGGTGGCCAGCGCAGCACCATGGATGGCACAAGCCCACCTTGCTTGAAGTTGTCGAGGTTCCTGAATTCCACCAGTGTGTTCCCGTAGTAGTAGTTGGTGACGTAGATCCGCTCCTCCCGCGCCAGGGGGTCCTTCATCCAGGCCCCCTCATTTCGCCCATAGGTGTTCTGGGTGGTGGGCCCTGAGATGGTGGACAGTGTGTCCTTGCAGCGCCCTGTGCAGGCAGAAAAAGGCTCATGAGGCCCAAGGCAGGGTGTCCACACTTTCCCTGCTCCTGCAGGCATCAACCCCCTCCAGCCCCTTGCCCACCCCTCAGGTACCCCCACTGCTTCAGATGGGCTCAGCCTCACGAGACCCAGCAGTGCTGGCCAGATCCTGCAAAGAGCTCCCCACAGCCTTAGCCATGTCCCTGCCCCAGCTGAGGCTGCTGGCTGTCTCAGGCCCATCTCTAGGGATGGCTCTTTCTGCCCTATCCAGCCCCTCAAACTGGGAGAGGACCACAGTAGGTTCCAGAGTTAACAAGCAAGTAAACCTGACACCCCAGTAAAGTGCTGTCCAGTGACTGTCTCCATGACACCTTCTACCCATGATCAAATCCAGGTGTGCTGGACTTAGCAGGACATGATGTGGGCACAAGAAGCTGGACCTCATGCGCACAGCTGGATCGGTACAGGACCCGCAGGCACTTACCAATGATGTTCCTGATGTCCTCCTCCTCCAGGACCTGCTTTGGGGTGGCAGGGATGGTGGGGCTGACTGGTGTCGCAGGGGTGCTCACCTGTCCCCAAGCTTCTGGGCTGCTCTCCAGGACAGGGCTTGTCCCCACATCCTTTGAGGTCCCAGCAGTGGTGGCCACAGCAGGGCTGGGGACAGTGGTGGCAGCTGTAGGCAAGCTCTCTGTGGCTGTGGCCACCACTGTGCTGGCCAAGGCTGCCAGCAGCTGCGGGGTCCCCTCCTCTGCCAGCCCCACTGGGGCAGCCGTGGTCTCTGGCGTGGGGGTCAGCTGGCCCACAGTGGTGGGGTCTGGTGTGGGCCCCGCAGACATGGCAGGGGACAGGGGCACTGTGGCTGTCACAGCAGTGTCAGCAGCCGGCGGGGTGGTGGGGTCGCTGCCAGGGGTGGGTGGCCATCCCACCGGTGAGGGCTTCCTCATGCCCTCGCCTGCTCTGCTGCTGGGCCTCAGGAGCTGGTCCTCGATCAGCAGGTCCACGGTGTTGTCTCCACTGAACAGCTCGTCCGCTGCCAAACACAGGCAATGGGCATCAGCCCCACAGCAAGTGGGAGCAGGTCCCCAGCAGTCCCTTTGCACTCACCCCACCACCCTAGCTCCTCTACCCATTTCCCCAGACTGCCTTATACTAAATTCAATGGTTTTCCCTCTTAATTTCCAGCTGGAGAAGGACTGTATGAACTTCAGGGGCTGACGGTGCCCACATTAGGGGGTCAGCAACACCCCAACACAACCACATACTCCACCTGAGGCTGGGCAGAGCAAGAGGTGAAGGAGAGCGATTCGATCCTGCCAGCCCCCAGAGATGGGGCAGGTTGGAGACACAGCTGCAGCATCCCACCAGATCCCACCTCCCCACCTAACCCGGGCTGCCAAAGTGGGTGCCTCACCTGGGGCACAGGGGCCACGTGGACTCACCAGCCACCACAGGTGCCCTTTGCTCCTCCTCATCTTAGGGATCTCAAGAACCTACACACAGCCATGCTGGCCAGCCTTGCTACTGAGCTGGCTTTGCAGAAAAAGGGCACTTGCCTTATTTGCCCATGCTGCTGGGTCTGGGGCTCAGCCCCCAGCTCTCCCCATGGCTGGAGCTGTGGGCTGCAGGGCAGCCAGTGACAACTCTGAGCTGCATCCCACCACCCCAAGCACTGCACACACTTCCTGGGATGCCAGGATCTGCAGGACTAACGTATGTAATAAACTTGCATTTACTTTCTGGAAAGATGTTGATGCTGGGTGCTTTAAACTGTAGCAGTGACCCATTTCCTTAGCTACCAGGGATTTTCCATGGAACAGCACTGCACTGCTCCCCACACAGGGCTCAAAGGCTGGATGCTGCCTCACTGCTTCCCGCCGTGAGGTACCACCTCCTTCTGCCTCCAAGCCCTCTTATCCATGGTGACCCCCATGCACTTTGCCCTCACATTCCTGGGGAGCAAGGCAGGACTTGGGGGCAGATGCTGGCTTCGCTATGGGATGCAGCCAGCCATCCCACCAGACACGGCTGCAAACCCAACTCACGTTGCTCCTCAATGTCGTTCTCTGACTCGGTGGACTGGGCTTTGTAGTAGGTTACCCCTCGGACGATGGTGGGCTTGGAAGGAGGCCGGCTCCTCACATGCAGCTTCCTCTGCAAGAGCTGCTTGGGCTTCTCGTCCTCTGGAGAGAGGTGCAGTTCTGGGAGGGACTCAACAGAGTTGATCTGCTGGGAGATGGTTTCATCTTTCAGGAATCTTTCTTCATATTTGCCCTGGAAGAGATGTAGGGGCTTGTTACAGGATAAGCCAGGGCAGCCATGTTTTGGGGGACAGGGCAGGTTAGGCTGGCCAGCTGAGTGTTGGGTAGGCCCTTCCTCCTTTCTCACGGTCACCCTGCATCCCTTCTGCTGTGGGAAACCCTCCAGTAGACAGCGTGGGTGCCAGACCAGTATTGCCTCTGCCTGACCTTGGTGCCACACTGCAAACCCGGGACTTGGTGCTCACTAAGGCAGAGGCTGAGGGATGCAGGATGTGCAGGCAGAGCGGGGGGACCCTCGGGCAGCATTAGCAGGGCACACCCCTCACTGCCACACTGGACACCCCCTTGCATGCCAGGGACTGGTGCCAGCAGCTGATCCGTAGAGCGTGCAACATGCATGGAGCTTTGGCAGAGCAGAAGCTGAAGGCACCTTCCCAGCAGGACCGGGAACTCCCTCGAGGCAGGGACTGGGAACCCCACACTGAGGCAGTCACCAGCTGCCGCAGCTCATGCCTGAAGGATTTCAGCTCATTAAAGGAAATCGGAAAGACAGCCCAAAGGTTGAAGCGGTGCCCATTTGGCTGAGAAGACAGGCCCAGGGTTCTTTTGCAGCCCTGCTGCAATTAACAGCAAGAAAAGGGGAACACTGGGAAATGAGGTCACTCGGGGTAATAAAAGCCCTGTGCTTTGCTCTCCTGCCTGGCCAGGGCTGGCTCCTCTCCAGCGGGCAACAGAGCCTCTGCTCAGGTTATGGCCCAGGGAGGAGAGAGCACTGCCGGACACCCTGTGCCACGGGGCACAGCTCCCCCTGGAGCAGAGCACACCTGCACGCCACGGTCAGGGTCATTTGCCCACCCGCCAACCCACAGTGCATGCATGGGAGCCCACCCTTCTGCTGGCCAGGGCCTGGGGAGCCCACCTCTGTGTAGAGCCTGCAACGCCTGCTCTCGGTGCTGGGGGG